GCCAAACATGCTTATTTCAACATGAATTCATCCTAAAAAGATTGGAAGTTTGAATGTTCTTGAATTGATTTCCTTCTTGAATTTGGGTTAAGATTGAGGAGTTCTTGAGAGTTTAATGTCGATTATTAGAGTTACTTTGAGTTAGATTCTTGTGTATATGTTTTGGGTACTTGAATCTAAAGAGATATTGAGAAATTTTTTTTGAAATTAATCAAATTAAGGTCAGAAAATGAGAGGAAAAGTTTGTCAGTTTTGCCTGGGGCAATGCTGGCACGACGCGCCCCTGTTGCACCAGGAACGCTGGGGCGACGCGCCAGCAGTGCACCAGAAATGATCCCCAGTAACTTAGGGGTTGGCGCGGTGCGCCAGGAATGCGCTTGGGTCGTCTGCCCCCACCTATTTTTCACCGTTTAGCCCATCTAAGTCCTTTTAAAGTGTACTAACACTTCCTATTGATTCTAACTACTTCAAATGACTTCTAAACATCTAGAAATCATCTAGAAACATGAATCCATAAATTCAAATTCAAGGTAGAGTTAAGAGTTAAGTCTTGTGAGTTCTTTCAAACATTTTGATAAAGTCCCTTTAAGTCTTTTTGAGGAGTCTTCTATAATTTCTAATAACTTGTTTCAAGACTCGAGCAAGCGAGTATGAGAATGAGGAGAATGTATTCATGAGTCTACCTTGTCATCACGAGATCCTTCATATCATGAACCATAACTCTTGAATTCATAATTCATATTCAAGAGAGAGTTAAGAGTAAAGTTCAAGAAAGCCTTTGAGTTCAATTGTGAACCCTTTGAGATCCATCATCGATTTGAGTTAAGTTTTGAGGAAGTAGGTATGAGAATGAGAAGAGTCATATATATGAGTTCCATGTTTTATGTAGACCTTCAAGTCGAGTCGTTTATGCCCATAAATTCCGCATGAATTCCATAAGTTGAGTATCTTTGCGAGAAATAGTATCTTCAAGTTCTAAGTCTTAAATATCGAGTTCCTAATCTTTTCGAGATTATATTCCTAACCATGGAACTATTACATTTTACCCTTGAAGTCCTTGAGTTGAGTAGTTCATGCCCATATTTCCGCATGAACCCTATAAATTGAGTAGTCTTGAGATGAGAAGTATCTTTGAGTCCTTGAGTTGAGTAGTCCATGCCCATAATTCCGCATGAACCCTCTGAGCCAAGCATTCTAGAAGCAAGTGTTATGATTGAAGTTCTTGAGTTCTAAATTGTTGAGTCTCAAGTATTGAGTTCTAGTTACGGTTATTGAAAACCTTGAATTGAGTTATTCACGTCCATAATTCAGCATGAACCTTTTTTGAGAAGTCTTTTACAATTATTTTAAACTTGTTTTAAAGACTTGTGCATTGAGTTTAATAAGAGCAAGAGTTGAGTTCTGTTTCTTCAAAAAATTATATGGGAACTAAGTATTCCCAAAGAGTAAATATTTTCACATTTAAACAAGAGAGGAAACACCGATTTCCAAGAGAGCTTTTAAGCTAGTTTTTGAGTAATAATCTCAAACCAGAGAAAGATTTATGTTTTTAAACATATGAGTTTAGTATATTTTTGGGAGTAGTATTGAGCACCGATATGGGGACGAGTTCAGATAACTCAAGTCTCCATAAACCATGTAGCAAACGTGGATAGAAATGGTTATACTTTTTAGATGATTTCTGAATGTTTTTTAGCATAGACTAGTGGATCCACTTAGTTAAGGCGTTCTATATCTCGGCAAGTTATAAGACAATTCTAGCAGCGTAGGTGAGACGTTATATCATCACATAGCTCATAGTGATGGTTGTCGGTTAGAGAAACTCCCACAAAGTTATATTATACTTTATTATATATATAAATTGAGTTGTTATTGTATTCTCCAATACACTGAGTTGCTTTTTACTATTTCAAAAGCTTTCCATATATTGCATGTGTATTGTTGCTTTATATAGAGTTGAGTATCTAGAGTTGAGTATTCAGAGTTGAGTACCCAGAGTCGAGTATCTTATTATTATTGAGTTGAGCCTTATTTTACTGATTTGAATATCTTACCATTGAGTTGAACTATGTTTCTTATTCTTGAGTTGAGTTTAGTTGAGTGAGTTGAGGGGAGGTAAGTATGTTTCCTTTTTATCAAGTTCAAGCTTATGATTATGCTTTAGAATTCCCCTTACATGCTCGTACATTCCACGTACTGATTCATTTGGCCTGCATCATTTCATGATGCAAATACAGGTATTCAAGATCATCAACAGACGCTTCGTTGATACCACATGGAGTTTGAGTTAGCTATGGTGAGCCTCATTGCTTCCGGAAGGTTCCACTTTTACTTTTATTTATATCAGTTGTTAGGATGTCATGGGTCTTGTCTCGACTTCCATCTTTGTCAGTTAGAGGCTTTATAGATAGACAGTAGAGTTTCAGAAATCTGTTAATTTATTTTGTTAAATGTTTTAAAGACTTAAGTTGCCTATTTTGTGGCGAGTTGAATATATTATTTTTATTCAGATTTTAAGCTTTGTATGATTGAGTTAGTCTTCTGCTTGTAGTCATTCAGGATGAGGGTTCGCTTGAGGACCAACAATGGTTCTCGAGTGTCGGCCACGTCCAGGGTGTAGGCTCAGGCCGTGACATAAATATTAATATTATATTACAATCTTTCCATTAAGCTGTCTGCTTGATTTTCTTCTATAATTGTCCATCTTTAACTGGTTTTAGCTCCAAACTTCTTCAACTTTACACCAATTTATTCCTACAAATAAAATACACTACTTGGCACAATCCATAAAATCCATACTCATAAAGGACAAATATAAATAATAAATGGGAGGTAAATAATGATTAAAACATATATACTTTTTGGTCTCACGTCACTAACTAACTTTGAACGGTGATAAAAAACTTTGTGACCTGTTACTAGCTAACAAAATGCTAACATAATGCAACTATTTTTGTTAATTTGATCCATCTCATCCATTATTCAACTATTTAGATCCTTAATGTGCATCAATACCCCCTAATTGAAGACTCGTCTTTTCCTCAAGGCTAAAAAGTTGGAAAATTGTGAATAAATTCAATAAGGAGTTCCTAATGCTAAGCTATTTAACCAACACATGAAAAACAACTTACTTTCCTTTATTGACGATTCTTCTTTCCAGAATAAACTATGGTATAAGATAGTAAGGACTAGACAAGTGCAGAACATGAGGATGGTTAATAGCATATGGAACCCTCAATTGAGAGACATGAAATATATGGTGTATTAGGACATCTGCAGCTAGTATCAACTTGTATACAACCTCACCTACTTTTTCCACAATCAATAAGGCTCATAGTACTCAGTTGGTAACTTGTTAAGCAGTAGTGTCCACAGAAATCTATCTCCAAGGTTGTAATTTCAAATAATATAGTTGATATCCCTCCATAAACCTCCTATGAGAACTTTGTTTGCTTGCTATATCCCTCATCCTTTATTTAGATCTGAACAGGTGGAATTTAAGAAATGCAATGCCAACTTTCTACCCTCCAAAGATCTATCAACCATCTCAGTATAAGCTTCCTTAACAAGTAAGGAAGATGAATTTGAGGTTTTTGTCCATACAAAACCTCAAAAGGTATACTTTGAATGGAAACATGAATGGTATTATACAACCATTCGACAAATGATAAGTAGGCGTTTCATTCTAAAGAATAATCTAGAAACACATGAGATAAGTCACCAAATTCTTGTTTAACACCTTCGTTTGGTCATAAGTCTGAGGGTGATATGTAGTGAACTTTTCCAGTTGAACCCTTAAAATCAGAACAATTCTTTCTAGAAAGATCTTAGAAATATAGGGTCCCTATTACTAAACATAGTAGGAAGAGTGCTATGTAACTTAAACATATTATTTAAGAGAATCTGAGCTATTATTTTAACAGTGTATTGAATGTTGCAAGTAAATGAAATGGTCATATCTACTCAATCTATCCACAACCACTAGAATAACATTCTTGCCTTAGACCTACGAAGGCCCTATATGAAATGTAAGCTAAATGTAGCCTATTGGTATCCATGACAGAGTGACCACCTAGAAGAGTGGAGTGCCACAATTGAATTATATCTAGACTATGAGTATGAACCCAAAGCCAACTGGGCTCTTCACCTAAGTTGAGAGTTGATCCAAGTAAAGGATTTAAAAGGGCACACCTATAGCTTGGTGATTAAAGCTTGCAAGACAACATCAAAACTGGTGACTACTGAATCAAATCAAACAAGGTATCATCACGATGTAACAAAGAAAGACATAATAGTTCAATTATTTGATTCCTAGACAAAGAATCAACAACTATATATATTATCATGTCTCTTAATGTACTCAATAGAGAAGTCAAATGCCATAAGCTTAGAGATCCTATCGATTTGGAATTCTATATGGATATTTTGATCAAACAAATGCTTTAATGTTCTTTGATAAGTTTGCACAATAGAATGTTCACATCATAGACCAGTGCAAGCAACTCTTTACCATACACACACTTGGCTTGGTGTTTAGGAACCAGTAGCATGCTACTATAGAAAATTGGATGCCCTTGCTACATCAAAACAACACCAATTTCTACACCACTTGCATCAGTCTCAATAGCGCAGGGCTTCATAGTCTGACATGTACAATGACTAATGCTTTAGTGACATTTTTGATGTTCTACTTCAAACACTCTAACAAAATACATTTTTGTTAAAAAAATAAAAAAAAGTAATATTAATTGATAACACTTCTCATTAAGTTTATTATTTTTAAATTTTTACTATTAGTTTTAGGGTTTTGAATCTATATTATCGATATAGGTTAACAAATTGTCATATCTTTGTAGCAATTAAAATCTTTTGCATACAATAAAAATAAATATGATTCTAAATTGTAAAGAAAGATAAGAGAAGAAGAGAAAAACAAGATAAAAGGGACTAAAATGATCTAACCTCTGTACATTATGGACTCTTCTGATAATAATATTTTCAAGGCTTTTTACTTCCAATTTCCTTCCTGACGATTTGACTACACCGGCGAGCAGATAAAAGAGTAATGGCCACTGAGGTTACTGATCGGAATCTCTCAACTCCGACATTCTTCGTCGCCGTACACGTCGGTGCTGGATATCACTCACCATCGAATGAGAAAGCTCTCCGTTCACCAATGAAACGAGCGTGGCTCGCTGCCGCTTCCGTTCTCCGAAAGGTCTCTCTCAAAATATGAATAAATAGCTTCATCCTTGTCAGGATCTAGAAGTGAGAAAAGAAAAAAATAGAAACTTTAATAGTTAATTCTGCATGCAAATTGATCGGTGTATCGATTCCAATTATATATGTTTTTGATGTTTTAATTCATGGTAAAAGAAGATGCTCTGAAGCAACTAACTTAAAATTTCTTTCATATTGTGGTTGTGCTGGTTTAATTTCAGGGTGCTGGTGGATGCATAGACGCTGTTACAGCAGCAATTCAAGTATTGGAGGTACTTCAGTTACTTCCTACTTTTTTCCTGAAAACCTTATAGTGGAAACTGTATTCGACAGTGTACTTATCGACATCTCAAGACGACGTAATTGTGTTGTAGAATCTTGGAAGAATTATGCACAACAGTGATGTTTTCTGTTGGTCAATTTCAAGAGGTGAAGAAATTTAGATAAAATATGTTGCTTGTAGGATAAACAAATTCGGGTGGAAAGATGGTCAGACAAGTAAGTGTTACCATTCTATAAAAAAAGGATGGTAAGACAAGTGCAAAGTTCCTAACTTGACATAAAATAGGTTTAAGTTGTTTCGAGATTGATTGTAATGTCCGTGGTCATATCCTAGTTAGTAACTATCTTGAGATGTCTGTAAATTGGAGAATAAGCTTTTATAATTTATAAGGTTCATGGGGTTCTCTCAATTTTTCCGAATTTGTCACCCATGAATCTCAAATAACTTTTACAAGTTCTTCTTTGAAATTTGTCTTGGATATTGGTGCCCTGCGGATCATTGGTGGCATCAGCATTAATAAGCAAAGCATTACATTTCCTGGGAAGTGAGAGACTCATGCCATTATTTGATCTCTCCAAGCAATTTCATAGTAAAGAATTGTTTGGATGGCCTCCTTGGCAAGTGGGCTTCTAGGATTTGGACATGCATATTTATTGCCTCCATGAGATATGCATCATGTAGGGACATGTTGAAATTTGGGAAAACCGTCACAAAAACTATTCCTCTGTTCAAAGTAACTTCAATAGTGTCAAGATTAGCATGCTGGTATCTAATTGAATGTCCTATTTTAAAGTTACTTTGTCATTGAAATGGATAACAAGAGTACCGTCTTAGTTAGATGGGGTGCATGTGGACACACTAGTTACTTTTGATCTTTAAAGAATAGATTAAGGACAAACTGGTTTTTGGAAGAGGAAGTGTGTCTATACAAGTTTCTAGTTGTATAGTTTACAAAGTACCTCTTTTGGTAAAACCACATAATTTGTGAGTAGCTCTAGAAAAAGCTGGATATAATATTTGGGATAGAGGTACCAGAGTAGTAACAAAATTTACTTGTAACTTTACCTTGTATTGAAATGTAATATCATATAAGTTAGTTGCAATCTTTGTCATAGTTGATTGAAGAAGGTGTTCAATTATATGGTTATCAAAAAAAGAAGTTCAATTACCAAGCAATGGGGTGAAAAGTGCATGATGCTTGATGAGTCACTTGCGTCAAGTTTGTTTCTGCTGTTATATGAGCTTGTAAATGTCGAAATCATATTAAAGTTTGTTATAACTTCTCAAAAAATATTTTTTTGCACAAAATGTCCCATCATGAAGTCTTAAAATCCCCTTCTAGTATGGAGTGTAGGTGAAGTTATATTCTTGCAGGATGATCCAAATACAAATGCTGGACGAGGTTCAAATTTGACAGAGGATGGTCATGTGGAGTGTGATGCTAGTAATATGGATGGTGATTCTGGAGCATTTGGTGCTGTAGGTGCAGTGCCAGGTATTCTCAGAACCAATGATCATGTACTTTATTGCAGAAAGTAGAGGTCGTGTATTGGTGATGTATTCTAAAGTTTGTTGTTATTGCTTTAGAGTTAATACTTCAAGTTCTTGTGGCATCCATTTTGTTTACTCTTGCTACATCTTCTGTGAAGTTAACCATTACCAGGTGTCAGAAATGCCATTGAGATTGCTGTTTTGTTGGCCAAGGAACAGATCTCTGGTTCTTCACTGCTTGGACGAATATCTCCAATGTATGATGACTCTTCTTTAGATGTCTTGTAAATAACTCTATATTGCTTCAATTGATATATCATCATTCTTTTTACTATATTTGTGCAATATGAATACATTATTGGCAAAACATAATTGTCTAAGAATTCAAAGAAATTGGAATTTGCTAAAAAAGGAGGCGGGTCCAATAAACTTGTGTGGACTGAAAAATAATTAAATAGGTGAGAGACGTGTCATTCAGTTTGATGCTTCTTTGTTGTAAATTACTCATTGTTCATCTATATGATAAAAAATTGTTTGATGTTCTACGTTACTTATCAAGGTTGGCTACTTTGGTTTCATTGGCTGAATTTTTTTCTTTTTTGAATTTCAAGGGACCTAAACACTAATTAATGATGAAAAAGTTGTTTTACAATTCTTGTTCTACTCATTGCATCCTTCCTTTTTCAAAATTTATTCATGTGAGAAATATAGAAAAAGAATATTATTGAATTGTGTTGTTTACATTATTACATTGAGACCCTATTTATAGACCCTAGAATACAATCATTTACCAAGTAGGATACTATTTACTATTCCTTCCTATTCTAAATAGGATTGTATGAACCTATTCCTATTCTAATAGGTTGTGTAATCCTATTCCTATTCTTATAGGATTGTATAAACCTATTTATGTTCTAACACTCCCCCTCAAGCTAGTGCATACAATTCATGTACCTAGCTTGTTACATATGTAATCAATACGAGGACCAATGAGTGGCTTGGTGAGATATCTGCAAGTTGATCAGCCGACTTCACAAAATTGACAGTCAATCTCAATGTGCTTGTCTTCTCATTAAATACTGGATTTGATGCATAATGCCAGTCAATCTCAATGTGCTTAATCTTCTCATGAAATACTGAATTTGATGCATAATGCCGATAAACACAGAGTGATAAAATTACTAAAATTATAGTGTTGAAATTTCCAAACCGAACTTGCAAAGACTGTTTCAAACCATAGAGTGACTCACATAATCGACATACAAGGCTACTAAACTCCCTGGAGCAACAAAGTGCTCAAAATCTAGTATAAAGTATAAAGTCAACGCAGGGACAAACTTATCTGGAGACATAGCAGGGATGGATCCTACACAGTTAAAGCATGCTACCTTCAACAAAGCTCCAAGAAGACCGTAATTGATCAATGGCCATGGAAATTAATCTGGAGAACTAAGTTGCCACCTAAAGTTATTTGTTTCAGTTGGATTACTCTAAAAGACTCTTGCTTGACTCAGAATAATCTCATGAGGAGGAAATTCCAAATAGTCAACAGATGCTACATGTGCTTGTGCAACTCAGAATCTATTAATCACTTGTTCCTTCATTGCACAGTTGCAACAGGCCTATGGAACATGTTCTTCTCACTTTTTGGACTCACTTGGATCATGCCAAGATCATTGAGAGAGGCTTTTGTGTGTTGGAGTTCTTGGAAAGTTGGGAAGTCCGTCAAGCATATCTGGTCTTTGGTTCCAGCCTGTATTTTGTGGTGCTTATGGACGGAGAGGAACAAAAGATGTTTTGATGGCACCCCAACTCCCATCTTTACCTTTAAAGCAAGATGTTTGATTACTCTTTTTGGTTGGGTTAATCTCTCTCCTGTACTTAGTGTCGATTCTTTCCTAGAATTTATCAGCTCCATAGATCTCTGTTGTTAGCTGTTTAGATAGCTTTTTTTGCCTTTTTGGGAGCTGATATTTCTTTCTTTTGTAATCTGTGCATCTGCTTGATGCTTTGTTAATGACATTCTTCTTACTTCATCAAAAAAAAAAAAAAAAAGTATATGGATCATGTTGGAATCAATAGATGAGTTGATATTAAAAAAGTCACCAAAAACTGGCCGGAACATGCTCATATGCCGGAGTATAAGATTTGATGGCTAAAAGTGGTCACAATCTAAGAAATAAAATTATGTGGGTAGGGCGGAATGATGTCACGACCCAACTAGAAAATAGAAATTATATAGGATAGTTCGAATTGATGGAACGACCCCATTGAAAAAGAGAAATAATATGGGTAAGGTCGGAATGATGGCACGATCCTACTGAAAAAGAAAAATTATACGGGTGGAGTTGGAATGATGGCACAACCCTACGCAAATCAGATTTGACGAGTCACCGGAAAGACGAATGGAACTATGCAAATCAAATCTGAGGAGTCACTAAAAAGACACATGATGCTATGCAACTTAGATATGAGAAAATAGTTCGGAAAAATCCACGGTACTACACAAATTAAATATGAAAAGTAGTCTGGAGAGATGCACGGTGCTACGCAAATCAAATATGCCAAAAAAGGTAGTCACTGAAAGGATGGCACGGTGCTACACAAATTATATATGAAAAAGTAGTCATCGGAATGATGGCACGTTGCTATGAAAAAGTAGTCACTGTTATGATGGCACGGTGCTACACAAATTAGATATAAGAAAGTAGTCACCGGAATGATGGCACGGTGCTACACAAATTAGATATAAGAAAGTAGTCACCGGAATGATGGCACGGTGCTACACAAATTAGATATGAGAAAAATAGTCACCGGAAAGATACACGGTGACCCAATTTTTGCTAACATAATCGTTGGCCGGACGAGCAGCATATATGGATAATAGCCGCCCGCCGGCAGCGGAAGCTCTTTGATTGTTTACCAAGATTGTAGAGGCTCTGATACCATGTGAGAAATATAGGAAAAGAATATTATTGAATTGTTGTTGTTTACATTATTACATTGAGACCCTATTTATAGATCCTAGAATAAATCATTTACCAAGTAGGATACTATTTACTATTCCTATTCCTATTCTAAATAGGATTGTATGAACCTATTCCTATTGTAATAGGGTTGTGTAATCCTATTCCTATTCTAATAGGATTGTATAAGCCTATTCATGTTCTAACAACTCATAAATAGAAGTCCAGTTCTTTGTCTCTTGGTTTGACTTGTTTCTTCTTCCAACTTTATATTCTAATGAAACTTTTCTGGCCTCGGTCTAGGTTTTTAGTTGGAGAAGGTGCCCGTGCATGGGCGAAGTCCAAAAGTGTTGTTTTACCATCAACTATGACAGAGGCTGACGAGGTAGAATACACTCGTCTTAACTGTAGATTTGTTTTTACTTAGGTGTCAGACACAAGTAGTAGTTACATTGAATAAAATATGTTGTAGTGTATGACCATCTTATCTAAAATGTTACCAGTTTCAAAAACAAAAAAAAGACCATCTCATCTAAAAGTTTAAGCTATTAGAGAGAGCACCCTTTTATTTACTTAATTATATCTTCAACACGGTCCCTCACATGCAAGCATGATTCTTTATGATGAGCCAAGCACGTGGAAATGGTTTTTAATAATGGGTGTTGGTTAGATTCGAATCTAAGAACTTTGTTTGGTCTGCTATCATGTTAAAGAAATGGACCTTAAGCCTAATCCAACTCCAAAACTAGCTCATGAGGTGAGGATTGTCCAAGTTCATATAAAAAGAAGCATTCTCATCTTTAATGAGCCGATGTGGGACTTAACAACAATATATTTATGATAATTGTTCCTTCTGTTAGGATTCTTGGAGCCTACTCTACTCTAAACTCTGGCTCACACCTATATAAAGGGTAATATATTCCCTTGAAGAGACATCTCAAATGTCCCTTGATAACTACAAAAGTGCTTGTCCTTGTATCGAGATATATCCAAAAACGAGTAAAAATAGGTCACAAGGGGAGGGATTATTGTCCTTTGTTAGTGAGGGCAAGCAACTATTCATTATTATCTACGATCTTACCTTTATCAACCAATTCAATAAAGGTCTTCTTTCCTTCATTGTGACATCTAGATATAGTTAAAAAGACTTTAACTTTAAATTACAATACCCTAGAGTAACACCCTTTGGTCTCTCTTAAAAAGTTCAAAACTAACTGTATCACAAGTTTCCACCACTCACTTCAACTATTTGCAGAGCTAAACCGGTTATCCATGACATTCCAGTTTCCTAATTTTTAATTTTAATTGCTTCTGTTGAAGTGTATGATAATCTCTTCGAAAAGCTTAAACGGTTAGAGAGATCACATTTTTGTTTATTTGATTATATTATATTTTCAACACACCTCTGTACGTGCGGGCTTGATTTTTTTTAAGCCAAACACATAAAAATTCTTGTTGATAAAGGGTGATGGTGGGACTCGAACCCAGGATCTTTGCCTACTGTCATGTTGAAGAATGTGACCATCTCATTAAAAGGTTTAAGCTGTTAGATTTGCTTAATCATAATCTCAACAACTTCCTACTATGATTTTTTTTATCAGTGCTTGAAAGTTGTCTTCAAATAGTGACTTCTCGAGTCATAATAATGCATTTTAAGGCTAAAATATTCATAGACATTCTTCTGCCAGTGCTCCAAATTTAAGAGTGGAATGACACTTTAATAGTGGGGAGATATCTATATAATTAGAGGGAAGTGCTTAGCTCCTTTTAAGCTAAAAGGGAGATCTCTTGAATTTTAGTCAAACTAGATGGGTGGTTTATCTAAATATTATTTTTTCTTTTGATCAGTATTCTTCCTAGATTTTGGCTTGAAGTAAACTATTTATTTGTGATATGGAGACAGTCGCTTGTTACTGAGAAGGCAAGAACCCAATGGAAAATATACAAAGCAATGCTTGATGATGCCAAAGCTGTAAATGATGCTCCTGACATAAAGATGACCAATGCTAAGGAGACTAATGCAATATCTGGTAAGTTGTAGTATATTGTTATCCAAGGTCTTTCGACTTTGATAAGGCTATCATTTTCCCTATGTTTAAGATTTTTCTTGGATTTCCTCAATGGGACTGTTTATCATGATGTGGGGAAGGCCAATAAGTGGACAAAATTACTTCTTATGTTCCAATTTATCCGACAATTTTAATGGGACAGAGTTTTTACGATAGAAATGAAGACTTTTGAAATTTTTGGTCTAGAATATGCTATAGCATATATGTGGCTATAAAACTTTTGAAACTGGTGGCTTTAACATGTCACAAAATTTATGTGGTTATAGAAGCTTCTCATTAAAGGTGTAGAATACGGTGTTTCCATATTTAGAACTGTCATTCTTTTTGCAACAGACTACAAAGAACCACATAAACTGAAATGGAACGAGTACTATTTTGAGTTCTGATGAACTAACATTCATATTATGAGGTCTCAAGTATCCCATTTTTTGTATTTAGTTAACATTAGGTGAATCTTTTTTTAATTTGTTCTTTTGAAAAGGACATTAAGAAAATCTTAACCCTCTGGTAAGTAGTGTCCTTAGAAGCTATTACTTTGTGCTATATACAAGGTTGTATTTTTTCAGTATATGAAATATTCCCCTGCTATACAATTTGCAGAGTCTAAATGATATCCTCTATGGAATCATCAAACTATATCTTGTGCACTAGGCTACTTGTCGACCATGTTAGCTACTATACTATCTTTGACATAATTGATATCTCCAGTAGACTGAACTGACTGGAGATGCATTTCCTCTGATTGTGCATTTTTGTCATTGGGATAGACTCTAATCTTCTGCAAGCTACTTATTTTACTTCAGGGACATGTATATATATAATTTTATATATATGCATTTTACTTTATTTTATAGGTTCTTAGTTAACTAGGTTCGCACAAAATAAAATGCTCCGCATAAACACTATTTTCTTACCGAGGTTCAAATGAGGTGGCTTGACTACTACCAGAGCTCAGGAGATGGGGAGAAGTTGATGGCGATGGGGCTTAGGGCAGTAGTGGGGATGCAAATAGTGTGCGGGAAAGGACGCTTCTTGCATTAGGGAAGTAGCTAGAGAGGTGTTTGGGTTCTCAAGGGGTAACTTTGATGGACACCAAGGATCAACTCTTACCTTATTTCTATTTGCCTTGGTGATGATGAACTGACGGGACATATCCAAGGGGAAGTGCCATGTTGTATGTTATTTGCAGTTGATATAACATTGATTGGTGAGACACACAGCGGAGTTAACGATAGGTTGGAGGTTTAGAGATAGACCTTGAGTCTAAAGCATTTAGATTGATCAAGATTAAGACATAGTACTTAGGGGTCGTTTGGTTTGAAGACAAGTGATGCTGAGATTAGTTATGTTGGGTTAGTTATGTTGAGTTTAGTTATGTTGGGTTAGTTATGTTGAGTTTAGTTATTCTGCTATTTTTTCTTATTGGATGCTTGGTTTGTTGTATTAAAAATAACATGTCTTGCATAGTTTCTAAGAATTTTTTTTTAAAAAAAAATGTATCCTCCACCTTATTTAGTAGAAAAGGGTTTGAGAAACCTCAGGAGTATTTTTGTCATTTTCATTGTTTTATCTTGGGATAACTAATCCTAGTACTATTAGGGGTCGTTTGGTTTGAATATGAGTTATGATGGGATAAGTTATGTTGGGATAAGTTATGTTGGGATAAGTTATGATGGGATAAGTTGTCCTGAAATTATTTCTTATTGAGTGTTTGGTTTGTTATATTCAAAATAATATATATTGATAAATTTTAAGAACAAGTTGTTTGTTTACAAAATTACCCTTCACTTTATTTAAACTTTTTAAATTTTTCTTTGTGAGCTTTAGTTATTCATTTTTTAAAATAAAACTTTTATTTTTTTTAACTTAAATATTTTTGTTTATGTATTCCCATGATAAGTACCATGTGTATTTAAAAATATAACTTTTTTCTTATTTAGCTTAAAAATAGAACTTTCATCTTAAGTTTATTAAAGAGAAGAAAATTTATGAGAAATCAAAATAAAATAAACATAAGAATTAGTCAAATAAATTCATAAATAAAAATTATATTTATATAGTATAATTTTTTAATAGAAAAATATGTATAATTATCATAAAAATAAGGAGTAGTAAATATTATTATACATGGTATTAAAAAAATGTAAATATACATAAATGTAAAAAATGATATATAAAAAGGATTTAAAGGGACATATTTGTCATTTACCTATTCTATCTCGGGATAAGTTATCCCGGGATTACTATACCACCCATGGGGAGGGATAACTTATCCCGGTACTAATTATTAATCCCGGGATAAGTTATCCCGGACTTGCCAACCAAACAAGATAATTTTTTTTTTATCCCATCGCTATTTCCTTATCCCATCACTATTATTTCTAATCCCTCACACCAAACGAGCCCTTAATCCACTGTATGGCAAGGATAACTTATTTGAGTACTAATAACTAATTCTGGTATAACTTATCCCATGAATAGTAACCAAACAAGAGATAAAACAGTACTAAATATTTATCCAAGGACAATCTATGATTGTCCAACATTCCAAACAAACCCTTAGAGTGCAAGTTGAGTGACGCAACTCACGTGGCAAATGTAGAAGTAAGGATTGATACTTGAGTCATCTCCAAGAAAGGAAGTTTTATGTATTTTGGGTCAATATTCTAAGGAAATGAGGAGATTGACAATGATGTTACACATCATGTTGGAGTGAGGTCGATGAAATGGAGGTTCGGATCCGGTGTTCTGTGTGATAAGAATGTGCCGCCGCCAAGATTTAAAGGTTAAGTTCTATAAAGTGGTTGCCAAGCCATCTATGTTGTATGAGGCAGGGTTTTGCCTAGTCAAAAACTCGCATGTCTAGAAGATGGAAATAGCCGAAATGAGGATATTGTGATGGATGTGTGGCATACGAGGAGAGATAGGATTAGGAATGAAGATATCCGTACAAGGTGGTAGTGACCTCCCTGATGGACAAGATAAGGGAGGCAAAATTGAGATGGGTCGGGCTTGTTAAGAGGAGAGGCGCGAATGCCCTAGTGAGGAGATGTGAGAGGTTGACAATGGTGGGTATCAGAAGAGGTAAAGGTGGTAACTGAAGAAGTATTGGGAAGAGGTGATTAGACAGGATATGGCGCACCTGCAGCTTACCGAGGAGATGACCCTATATAGGAGGATATGGAGCTCGAAGATCAGGGTAGTGGAACGTTGTCTGGTTCCCTTATCAGTATTGTTGTTATTACTCTTCAACTATTTTATTCTTCAATTTTATTATCACCTTGTTGTGTCCTTACCGTATTATTTGTTGTTGCTACTATTCTCTTCTTATTTTGTTTTTATCTTATCTTCTTCACTTTTGTATTTTCTTTTTCGGTGCTTGATTTTGATATGTTTTACTTGAGTTGAGGGTCTAGCATAAACAACCTCTCTACCTTCACAAGGTAGGGGTAAGGCTGCTGGCTGCGTACACACTGCTCTTCCCAAACGCCACTTGTGGGACTACACTAGTGTTTTTGTTGTTTAACGCTATTTTCTAGTTGGCTGGACCATCTTGGTTTTCCAGTAATTTTTCATAGTGAGAAAATATTAGTATATTGTTAATTACTTGTTACCCTCTCCCTCTTCCCTGTGTATGTGTGTCTCATACATGTGCATTTTTTTTAGAAGTAGAGAGCCAACCATCTGATCAATTGAGGGGAGATGGAGTGGGTGACCAAATCTCCTTGCTCAATGCATTAGACGAAGACTTAATTTCAGACACTGTTGGGGTTATCTGTCTCGATTCGAAAGGACATATGGCTTGTGGAAGTTCTAGCAGTGGGATAGCACTGAAGGTGATAAAACTAGAAATGATTTTTAAATTTCTATCTAATTGTAATATAAATTTGAGGGTTTTGCAGTAGGTGTTTCTCTGCCCAACTTCTGATTTTTTTCATGTATACATGTGCATGTTGTGAATGAATTTAGTACACTTGAAGGTTTCAAAATCAGAAGGATTGTGACTGGTGCAGTTTTATCTGGGTGTTAGTTACTTCAATTGGTGGTGGTGGGTGTCCTGAATTCAGGCTTTAAATTTATGTGATGAAGATTATGAATTTAAGATTATCCTCAGTTCTTTTATCAGTAAGATTATCGTAAGTTGTAATTAGAGCCTGAATATGGCTGACACTGTTGTTTGGACTTGAAAAGTAGAAAATTCTCATTCTGTCATAATATAAGTTGAAGTTCGTTATTGAACACAACTGCAATTCTTGAAAAGGGGTGTTGCATTTGTCAATGGACATGCCTTTTGGGAAAGAACCAGCTATCCATATTGATTTCTTGGTAATTCTAACAAGACATAATTGTCTGTTGATTAACATTTTCAGGCAGCCTCTGCTCCTTCTGTGTTGATTTTTAAAGGTCTTGGCTATCAAAGGACTTTCATCAAAGAACAAATACAATTTTTGGTCAAACAACATCTACAATGTCCCACCCTCAAGCTAATTGGTGTATCCTCTAGAAAAATGGAGGAAGAAAGATACAATTCACCCTTATTAATATATAAAAGAGTTGACAGTGATGGATAGTGAACGTAGGGCCGTGCAAGCTAAGTGCTAACAACACTGAGATTCTTGTATTTCTTTATTTCTATCTAGATAGTGTACACATATTTTCCCATCTTCTATATCCCCGCTGCTTCTATTAAAACTTCTTAGTATTGTTTAGAAGTTATTACTGTGTGTAAATTACAGATATTGCTGTTTGAACAAGTATAATATACACATATTTTCCCATCTTCTATACCTCCGCTGCTTCTATTAAACTTCTCACTATTGTTTAGATGTTATTATTGTGTATAAATTAGCCTTGTCATTTCGTTGGATATTGAGAAACTTTACAATGCTCAATTGTTTGTGGCCTGAATTCTTCCTTTTGGTTTGATATGAGCAGTTGGCCTTATCATGTTCATCCTTTGAATGATAGTTTTCTCTTACCCTCCTCTCATTTCTTCTTCATAGTTCTTCTGTATATCCTTTTCCTGCACTTGATTCTCTGCTCATAATGGACTGCTTGAAAGGCTTATATAATACTTCATCTTTACAAGCACCATTTAACTGAATATTGAAAAACTAATATATTATTGAAGGAAGCAGAAGTTGTATCACAGTTTTGGTTTAGTCCAAGATGTTTGCTTCTGGTTGAGCATTGGGTTTCTCTTTTCCTTGCACTATTCGTACAATCTACTTGGAGTGAGCAGTTTTCTTGCTTTCACTGTCTATTATTTTCTTTAGCCTACTAAATTTTTGTGATACTTTCCCTGCTTCCAAATTTTGTTGTATTTGCAAGAGCAGAGGTCTTATCTTCTTTCTTATATTGAGTTGATAAGTTCTTTGGATTGCTTATTTCAATCTTTGAACTTATAACAGGTAAGTGGGCGTGTAGGTCTAGCAGCAATGTATGGTTCCGGTTGTTGGGCATCGTCAAGGGGACCTTTTGGAGCTCCATTTATAGTGGGATGCTGTGTCAGTGGTGCTGGAGAGTACCTAATGAAAGGATTTGCTGCTCGGGAATGCTGTATCTCATCATCACTGTATGCTTGCCATGTCTCTGAGATACCAGCTTTCCCATTTGTCCACGTTACCTTTTCTCCTTATTATTAGCTATGGAGAATATGGTTGTTGAAGTCCTATATCGTGGAGAAAATTTTACCTGCAAAATCCATGAATTTTACTGAAAATTAGTGTTCATTGTTAAATTTGTGAACTTAAACAAACATATATTCCATCTCGCTTTTCGCGCTTGAAATTTTGTACTTGCATGTTTCTTTCTGCAGGTCTCAAGCTGGTCCATCTTCTGCCTGTAAAAAGGTTTTGCAAACTATTCAAGAAAACAGCCAATGCAGTGTTGACCGAAGTGCTGGATTCCTTCTAGTTCAAGCAGATCCTCCAAGACTGGTAAGACTGTTCCAGTGTTCCCTTATCTTTCTCTTTTCTCATGCTTTTTATCTGAAGGAAAGAAAATAAAGGAACTTCCACATTGGCTGGCAATCCATTGTCCATAGGTTGGGGGCAATTTTGGCTAGGCTGGAAGCTGTTGAGATTGCAGCTGTATATTCTTCCTCGTCTTTTGGAATAGGTTATTTTGGCAGCTCTATGGATATGCCCAAGGTATCATAAATCTGCATATTCTCACGTTTTATGCAACATACAATGATTTCTGTGTTTAAACTGATGGTACCTCAAGTTAATAATTCTCTCTATCTATCTTTCTTTCTGTGTGTGTGTGTTTGGGAGCGGTGAGGGGAGTAAAGGCAGGAGCGCATGACAATTGGCAATGTTGTTTTAATGACAATTAGATTAATTAGGAGCAAGTTGGCTTATGGTCAAAGTTGATCACCGAAAATATTGATGGCTTATTTACTTTGTCATTGTTCATATTCTTGTTTCTTTTTTAGGAGAATCCCATCCATTAGACAAATATCTGCTTAATTGTTGGAAAACACGAGAGATTAATTATTCATATATACTTTTTTGAGTTATACAATACCTGGCTTTTGTCAAAATTCGTTACTAATAAGACCAGCAGCCAATCTTCGAGCTTAATCAATTGAACCTAGAGAACTAAAGCTCGAACCTTAGACTTGGTAATGAGGTTCAAGATGATAATAACCTGTTTGTGCACTTATCATATACTGATCTGCGTATAAATCATTATAATTGGTTAGTTAAAAGGAATAATAGGCATTGCTTAAATCTAGCTTTTTGTGTTGATATGTTGAGGATAAGGCTTTCAATATTGCAGATCTCACACAAGTTGCGCTGATTCTGTTCTTTAACATACTATTTTTGACTGCTGTTGCTGCAAAATGTCACTGCACAAGTTATCATTTAACATTAACTTCGACCATCAGTGTAGCTATCATTGTGATCTTCTACAGGTTTCAGTGCTTAGGAGTAAAAAACAGCAAAATAAAGCTGGAATTGATGAGTTTGCTGCACGAATTAATCTCATCTCCAAGGAACGGTAGTGTTGCAGCAAGAGAACAGGAGTGTCAATTGGGACAAAATGACTTCCCCATTCCCACTTCAATGGCATCATCAGTTAATCTAATTACCCAAGATACGTCCGAGACCGATAGACTTGCAGTTGAAGGAACGTTATAAACGTAGTTGAGCCAAAAGGTATCAGAGATTCCAATGATAAACTAAAATTGATTTTGATAGCTAAGAGAGGAATAACTCAAGTTTTTCCTTCATATGGAAAAGGGTCTCTTTTTGGGATGAAGAGTTAATGAGGTTTGCCTCATTGACACAAAAAGCTTAAACATTACTTGATTTGACATTTGTTATCTGGTTGTGTTGCAAAGAAGAGAGTAAATTTGCCAAATAATGGACAATGGTTTTTATTTATAGGAGAAAGAAATGTTTAATTGACTTAGTTGTCCATTTTAAAAAAGTGAAAAAAAGGAATTTTAAGTACTAATTATTGAAAGCTGAAAGAAATAATCATAAATCATTAACTTATTTTACTTACACATAGGCCTTTAGATATAAAAGTCAAAATTCTACCCAAGAAATGAACCTTAGTTTTTCTTCCTCTATCTTAAGATTAGATAGAGGTGCTCATGGTTCAATTTGAGTAAAATGGTAAAAGTCACTTTTACAAATAATTATTTTATTAATAGATGTATCAAGTCAAAATTTGATAAGTAAAAAGGGACCAAGGAGTATTGAATAAAATTGATTGTTTCATCAATTTCAATCATTTAAAGCTCAACTGCCAAGTCACCCAGAATTTTTACTCCACTTATTAATTTTAGTTTGTTACTCGTAAGTTGAAAACATGTTTTGATTAACTTTTAAATTGGCTCATAAGCTAATTGATCCTTTCAGTAATCTGGTAAGGGTCTTTTCAATATACATACCCAAAGATTTCCAATCCGAAACACACATATACTTGTAATGCATGGAGTGGAAACCTTGTCATTTCAACCCAAGATCTTTGGAGAGTAACCCATAATTTTGCACCAGAGAATGAGCTTGGTTTGGAGGTGTGTTAGAAAGGTGTAACTGAAGATAAAATTCTAATTGTATTGAAGAGAAGAGAATATGTGATTATCAATTGCAAGACATTGGATGAATTCCAGGCAGAAATATATGTGGTTTCCAAGGTTCAGCATCGCCATTTAGTTTCACTCTTGGGTTACATACTCCATTGAATAAGGAAATAAGAGGTTTTTAGTATATGAATTTATGCCAAAGGACACTCTTAAGTCAACATCTTTTTCGGTGGGAAAACCTAAACTTCTCAATGTTGCTTTAGATGTTGCATCGATATGAAGAAACTCGATATCTAGTTGAGTGGTTTCGGAATATAAAATCAAATAAAGAAAAACTCCTTGCTTCTGTTGATCGAACTCTTGACACAAGGTTATCTCAGAGATTTATTTAAGAGATATTTGTACCCATTATACTTTGTTGCCATAATAGTACAAACTAGGCATAATACATAAATGTGTTTTTTAACTTATCCTCATTCCATATTTGTGCCCTTCAATTTTGGATGTGCACAAGTAGAGACTTAAACTTGTATAAAATTGAACAAGTAGAAACATGAGTCTTATGTGACATAATACACATGGAATACCATGTAGAACTCAAATTGTCATGTATGATGCTACATGTGTCTATTTGTTCAACTTTGTACAAGTTTAAGTATCTACTTGTATACACTCAAAGCTGGAGGGTATAAATATGAAGTGAGACTGAGTTAAAGGACATATTTATGTATTATGCCTGGAAACTATCATTTGAAGTTTGCAGAGAGTTCATTCATGCCACTGGAATGTTTTATATTAGTTTCTTCCATGTTGATTTCTAATGTAACGGCCCTCATGATCATTTTGTATTTTCGATGTATTTCCCCTATTTTACCTCTTCCTTAAACTTCTATATGTCATTTCTAACTTACAAGGATGGGTGATACAAATCCCAAGGTGATGGGATAGGTATTTTTTTGTGTTGAAAAGTTTAATCAAAGTCAATATTTTAAATTAATACGAGCTCGAGTTTGGTTAGGCCTGAAAGGTTCTTTTTGACTTGGTTGGATAGTTGATCCGGATCCTAAGGTGTTCAAGAGCATTTTGGATCATTGGTTAAAATTTTTAAGTTTAAGAAACTTAAGGTTGACCACAGTTAACTTTAGGTCAATACGACTCCGAACAGGTGATTTCATGATTCCAATAAATTTGAAATGTGATTTTTTGTCAATCTACGCATTTGTTTATTTGTGTAGGATTCCAAATGAATTATGAGAGTCGATTCCAGGGCTTGGCTATTTTTGGAGATAATATGTTATTGCAGTATCTGGCGTGCAATCGTCAAAATGAGATTTGCCCACACCATTGAGAGCCTCTTTTGCGAGGCCATGTGTGTTAAGTTGATTCCACTGCAAATACAAGGGCTTTGCTAGATTGCTTCACGGGATAAGAGTTTAATCCTTAATTTATGTTTTTCTTATTAATCTGATCATTAAATAAGTGATTTTATGGTGTTTGGAATTTTTTCCCCAAGGATAAATGGATTTCTTTGATTACGACCCATTAGTGGCTTAATTTAGTTGATTTTTGACGTATGCATTCTTCAAGTTATGGGTAAATCGATTTTGAAAGAAATTTCTAGTTGACACCAGATCTTGAGGTTAGCATTTTTTTTTTAGTCAATTTGAGACTATTCTTTTTAGAGAGAAGTATTGATAACGACTAGCTTTGAACTTGTCGTAAATTATTGATTTTGTCTCTAAATTATTGACAACCTTAAAAACACCCGTCTACTTGACTAACTAAACTTAGACACACTCCCTACACTCTCGATCTACCACATGACATAGCAAGTGGTCTTAAACTCTTGTAGGAACATGAGACTCTTAATAAAAAGCCGAGAGAAGTGTTGAAGGGTACTTGGCAAGAATTTAGAGGTGTATTTCACTCATGTTGCAAGATCGGGGGTGTATGTCACGCCCCGAGCCTACACCCTGGGAGGAATTGGCACTCGAAGACCATTGCTGGCCCCAAGCGAACCCTTGGCCTGGCTTACTTAACTCAGCGGAAGACTCTAAGCATGATTACAATTATCAAATGAACTTACTCAAATAGCTTAATAGTATAGCTTAGAATGTTAGAAGAATTAAACATTCAACTTGGCCAAAATGACAACCCAAGTCTTAACATAATATGAAATGAGAAGACTAAAGAACTAATAACTGACTGTTTATGAAGCCTCTAAAACAACTGAGAGGGATGTTGGGACAAACCCCACAACATCCTAATGAACTAAACTAGAAAGAAAATAAAAGAGTCCTCAGGATGCAAGGAGGCTCACCACAGACTTGGAGTGCTCAAGTTGGATCAACGAGGTGCTGGATGCTGATCCTGGTTACCTGTGTCTGCATCATAAGACGATGCAGGCCAACTGGCATCAGTACATTGAATGTACGAGTATGCGAGTTGGAATACTAAACAATACATAGGCTTGAAAGGATTCTGAAAGAAACACTTACCTTGACTCTTCTCAACTCATAAATACTTAACTCAAAATAAAGCAATGAAACACATGTAATATATGAAAAGCTTTATAAAACAGCTGAAAACAATCTTAGTTCGTTAAAGACAAAACAATAACAAACTTAACTTTACTCATTTAGAAAGTAATATAACTTTTGTGGGAGATTCTCTAACCGACAACCATCACTATGAGCCTAAGTGATGGTACAACGTTTTACCTCACGTTGCCAAAGACCGTCCTATACCTTGCTGTCAGTATAGAACCTGAACTACTAAGTGGATCCACTAGTCTATGCTAAAAAGCACTAAGAAATCATCTAAAAAGTATGATCATTTTTCTACCCATGATGGCTACATGGTTTATGAAGACTTGAGTTAATATGAACTCGCATCCCCATATCGGTGCTCAATACTACTCCCAAAAATATACTTAGCTCATATGTTTTAAAACAACTTCTTTCTTTGGTTTGAGATAATTACTCAAAACTTAGCTTAAAAGCTCTCTTAGAATCGATGATCCCTTTTCTTGCTCAAATGTGAAAACATTTATAAACTCTTTGGGAATACTTAGTTTCCTAATAGCTTTTTAAGGAGTGAACTCAACTCCTTACTCTTTGCTTAACTTGAAACTTAAGTCTTAAAACAAAGTTAGAACATTTGTAAAAGACCCTTGAAAACTTTGATGAACTTCACTTGATTTGACTCTTAACTTTACTTGAATTGACTCTTAACTTTCCTTGAATTGAATTATGGATTCAAGGATTATGATTTGTGATAGGAAAGGTCTCTTGATGTTTAGGAATGATTTGGAATAGCTAAACTTGAGAAAAGTTACGAAATCACCGTCTTGGAACAAGTCTGCGACGCGGAGGTGTTTCTAAATAAATGGTCGCGAAATTAAATTTGAGACAGAGGAGTCCGCGTCCTCTTCGCGACACGGAGCAGATTTTTGTTCACAGGGGGAACAAGTCCGCGACGCGGACTTGTTTCATGAACCTTACTCAACTTTTGTCTTTTTCGTTTTTCAACCTTAAACCACCTAAATTCGATTATCTTCCTCAAATACATTTTAAATCATGATGCCCAACATGTATACTCAAGAAACTAACTCAAAGCAACCCTAAACACAAAGTAAGGATCTCATAAACTTCTCAATTCGTTCTAATTCGCTAACAACATTCGAATTCAAGAATATTTGTTAAGAACATCAATTTTTCCAACTCTTCTACGACGAATCTCACTGAATTAAACATGCTTGGCGCGTGGGTGAATGAACCCAATGCTATGAGAAACTCACATACCTTGTAGGATCAATTTCTTGGCGAATCCACAACCAAAATCGATTGTTCTTGGCGAATCTTGCTTTTCCTCTTCTCCTTTCTCTTGCGTTCTTTCTCCGAAAGCCCCAACTCTATTTCTCAAAAGCGTAAACTGAACTAACTCAGTTTTTGACCCCACTTAATTTACTAAAACGGATTTA